AATATAACTGGACCACATGGAAATAGTGACCATAATGTAATAAAATTTAACATGTCGGGGGGGGGGGGGGGGAGACACCTCATCAGCCCAATGCTGTGGCATGTTATTTCAGAAAGGGGAACTACCCAAAAATGAGGTTAAACAGAAATTAAAAGGTACAGTGACAAAAGTAAAATCCCTGCAAGTGGCATGGACACTTTTCAAAGACACCATTACAGAGGCCCAACTTAAATGTATACCTGCAAATTTAAAAACACAGTAAGAGAATCAAAAAAGTGCCACTGTGGCTTAACAACCAAGAAAAAGAAGCAGTGAGACATAAAAAGGCATTGTTTAAAAAGTGGAAATTAAACACTAATGAGGAAAATAGAAAGGAACATAAACTTTGTCAAATTAGGTGTAAAAGTATAATGAGAAAAGCCAAAAGGAGTTTGAAGAACAACTAGACAAAAGCTCGAAAAGCAATAGTAAAATGTTTTTTAATTGCCATCAGAAGGAAGAAGCCTGCTACACAACCAGTGGAGCCACTGGATGATCAAGATGTGAAAGGAGCACCAAAAGACAATAAGGTCGACAATAGAGTCATTGCAGAGAAACTAAATGAATTATTTGCTTTGGTCTTCACGGCTGAGGATGTTAGGGAGATTCCCAAACCTGAGTCATTCTTTTTAGGTGACAAATCTGAGGAATTGTCTCAGACTGAGGTGTCATTAGAGCAGGTTTTGGAACAAACTGATAAACTTAACAATAACAAGTCCCTGGGACCAGATGGCATTCACCCAAGAGTTCTGAAAGAACTCAAATATGAAATTGTAGAACTATTAACTGTGATTGTAACCTATCCTTTAAATCAGCTTCTGTTCCTAATGACTGGAAAATAGCTAATGTGACACTAACTTTTAAAGGGGCTCTGGAGGAAATCCTGGCAATTTCAGACTGGTAAGTCTAATGTTAGTACTGGGCAAATTAGTTAAAACTATAGTAAAGAATAAAATTGTCAGACACATAGATTAACATAATTTCTTGGAGAAAGTCAACATGATTTCTGTAAAGGGAGATCATGCCTTACTAATCTGCTATAGTTCTTTGAGAGGATCAAGAAACATGTGGACAAGAGGGATCCAATGGATATAGTATACTTAGATTTCCAGCAGGTCTTTGATAAGGTCCCTCACCAAAGGCTCTTAAATAAATTAAGTAGTCATGGGGTAAGAGGGAAGGTCTTCTCATGGATTAATAACTGGTTAAAAGACAGGAAACAAAGGGTAGGAACAAATGGCAAGTTTTCAGAGTGGAGAGAGGTAACTAGAGGTGTCCCCCAAGGGTCTGTCCTGGGACCAATCCTATCCAATGTATTTATAAATGATCTAGAGTAAAGGGTAAACAGTGAGGTGGCAAAAACAGACTGTGAAGAGCTTAAAAAAGATCTCACCAAACTAAGTGATAGGGCAACAAAATGGCAAATAAAATTTAATGCTGCTAAATGCAAAGTAATGCACATTGGAAAAAATAATCCCAAATATCCATACAAAATGATGGGGACTAATTTAGCTACAACTACTCAAGAGAGAGATCTTGGAGTCATTGTGTACAGTTCTCTGAAAACGTCCACACAATGTGCAGTGGCAGTCAAAAAAACAAACAATGTCAGGACTCTTTAAAAGAGGGATAGAGAATAAGACAGAGTGCATCTCATGGCCTCTATATAAATCCATAGTAGAGAAATACCTGCACCTGAATCAGAATGGCTAGGGTAGATACAATGAACCTCTGGCACTTTCAATGGAGAAATCCTGCCACGTAAGTGGTTCAGATCTCTAGCGTGGACTCAGGCTATTGCAGAAAGGAGCTCTACCTAGTGGTGTGCACAGCAATTACTCTGCCTTGGCTATTACAGAGCAGAACCAGAAATATAATTGAAGTATATCACGTGCATTTGGCTCTAATACACAGGGTTCCTGTATGCATGAAAGAGTGCGCAGACTTCAAGATAAAAGTCCTATAATGGCCTAGTCAGGAATGTTCCAGTGACCTTTGGGCACCTCACTGGCTGTTTCAGTAAGTAATAAACTTAAAAAACAACAAATAGTCTGGTAGTACTTTAAAGACTAACAAAACATGTAGATAGTATCATGAGCTTTTGTGGGCACAGCCCACTTCTTCAGATGAAACTGACTGATTTTTTATTAACCCCAAATCAGCCTCTTAGTCTGAAAACTTACAACCGCTCATATATAACCTTGCCTCCTGATGATGATCAATACAGCCTGTATTTTAACACCTAGGACTCATTAATATTTCCTGCAGACTGTTGAGTGACTAGAAAATAAAGCGGGAAGTGTCCCAGATGTTAGAAAGAGAAAATGGAATTATTCATTGCTTACTAATGTCAAATGCTAATGGAAGAAAAGCATCCTTGAAGAGAACCTTGACGAAAATTCATTAGAGTGATATGAAATCACCAGCTTAATTATGCATTTTTGAAAATGTATTTATTAGGTCTGATTCTGATCCATTTATATCAGTTTTATACTCTTGTGAGTCCACTGATTTCACTGGAATTGTTTCTGATTTGCACTGGTTCATGTCAGATCAGAATCAGACCTTAACTTTGTCTCTATACCACTTCATCTTTTTGTCAACCTCTGTCAAATCTAACAGATAAAAGAGATTGAGGCACCCATCATTTCCAGACTATGTCACTAAACCCATTAGGTTAACTCTGAAAATTCCTCTTCAAAGGAAATGAATTCTCAAAGGGTAATTTTGTGCAAACAAGTTATCCTCAGTTTAGGAATACAAGCCTTGAGAAATAAACTAATCTTTTCTGTAGCCCAAAAGAATGACATGTTCACTCAATAGATAAGCCAGCCATAAATGTTGCATTTTAACACAGGATTTAATGAATTGCTTTATCATGTTACTCTAGTGTAATTTGCATCTATTGCCATGGTGTCATGAGTCATGATGCATGCAAAACAAAAAGTTTTAAAACCCAAGTTATTGTGACATGACTCTAAGTCATGTGTTCGCTAAAAGAATGATTGAGTTTTAAACTATTGCTTATTCTAGACCTGATCCAGAATGAGTAGGTCTCCAAGGGACGGTTACTCCCCACGGCATGAATGTGTGATTAAACTAAATGTATTCCATAAATGCCTTGATGACATTAAACTAAATTTTTTAAAGAACAGATGGAGAAAGTTAATAAATATTTCATTCTGTGATATAAAATTCACTTCTATATTCACAACTTCAGGGATCCTTAGTTTTGTAGATATCAATAAGTCTGATGGATTTCTTGCTGCATGCTCGTACTTCTGCCCTGACGTCTCTTACGGGCTCATCATTTCTGCATGCTTGGATTGTTTTATGGGATCAGCGAAAGGCAAGTGACTGTAAATCTTGACCTCTCCTGCTCCCAGATTACATACTTTTATTCTTTGTGGCCATAAGTGTTCAGCTTCACATTGAATAGATAATTAAATGACAGAAAATATCCAAAGAGAGACAATTTATAGTGAGAAATTATCACCTGAAGAACCAATGGAGCATAGGCATAACTCTAGCTGATATAATTAAAAAATCCTTTAAAATTGACAAATAAAACATTTAAATATCTGTGTATTTCTGAATGTCACAAAATTTCTATTCACTGGAGTAGTATAAGATATATCGTTCATATCCATCCTTATTCAAACAAAGCTCCCATTAATGGGGATCAATGAGAGCTTAACATAAGTGAAAATTACAGACTAAGTCTGTTATTCAGATGAAATAAGTATTCTTTACACTGGAATTACAAATTACCATGCTATACATTACATACCATGGATTTTGTAAATGAGTAATTTGAACTTGCTCCATTGACACTCGTAATATTTTAGAAAGTGAAATAATACATTATTTATACCTTTGACAATTTTCACTGTATTCTACAATAGATTTGCATTACATTATTAACTACATATAGTCAATAGCATAGCATATAGCTTAAAGATATATGTTTAATACAAACAATGGCATTCATGTAGTAAGCACACAATTTTGTGAGTTTGTTTCAAACATTATGCAAATCATTGAAACAAGCAAGGACTAAGCAAAACTTACTTCAAAGCACTGAGATCAAACCGTAAACATATAAGCTACGTCTACATTGGTATGATCTTGCGCAAATACTCTTTAACGCAAGAGTTCTTGCGTTAAAGTATTTGCACAAGAGAGCGTCTACACTGGCATGTGCCTTTGCGCAAGAGCATCCGTGCCAGTGTAGACTCTTTTTTGTGCAAGAAAGCTCCGATGGCCATTTTAGCCATCAGGCTTTCTTGCGCAAGAAATTCATGTTGCCTGTCTACAGTGGCCTCTTGAGCAAGAACAGTTGCGCAAGAGGGCTTATTCCTGAGCGGGAGCATCATAGTTCTTGTGCAAGAAGCACTGATTTCACACATTAGAACGTCAGTGTTCTTGCGCATGAACTCCCCGCCAGTGTAGACAGGCAGCATATTTTTGCGCAAAAGCAATCGCTTTTGTACAAGATTGCACCAATGTAGACACAGCCATAGTGACAGCACTAAATCTTATCATTACTCCAATTTTTTACAAATCCTCACATATAGTACAAATATAAACTAGTTTGCCATTTGAATCTCAACAGTCTTGCATATAGTGCATTCAAATTAGCATGTTTTATTGTTACTAACTTGCAAATCCTATGCACTTGAGTATTTCTAGACACTAAAATCTTTTATCTTCTTATTTGGGACTGTTCCTAATTCTGTTTGTACAGAGCCTAGCACAACGGTACCTGTTCTCAATTGGCCTCAAGGCACTACTAAAACAAACACACACAAATAATAATATTTTTGTGCCCATTCCCATTTCTCTACATTCTGTCCACTTCTTTGTCCTTGAACTGTGAAATCTTCATAGTGACAATCTTTTCTTTAATGTTTGTTTGGAAACACCTAGCACACAGTGGATAATACTGTAAATAACTGATAAATGATAGCAATCATATGATTTATTATGCATGTAACAGATGTAACAGTTCACATGTTTAAAGTTCAGTATATGCATTTGTATTTGCAGGTTTGGGACCCTAAAAGAGCCAAAAAGATCTTGTACCTCCTGATACATCATTTTCCTGTTGTATTTGAAAGCTTTATTTTAGTTGTTCTTTAATGTTAATGAGCGCTTGCATGCTCAAATATCATCCTAATTGATTTTCACAAATAGACATTACAGAATATATCATTGCAGCCAGATTTTATTACATTTAACAAGAAATGAGGTGCTAGAAATTTCAACATAACATCCCTATCTCTCTGAATAAACATTGCAGCCCACAGCCAGTTTTTAGATGTACTCAGTCTATTACAAAATGAAGAGTATTATATTGACTTTTAAGCGAGAATTGAACCATCACTGCAAACTTTGGGTTTGAATCTGAACATTTATGTTTTTATAGGTCTGCATGTTTGTATTTGGACCTTTGGTCTTTCCCGTGGTAAGGATAGAAAAGATATTAAGTCCACATGCACATCTGAACAGCTAAATTTGGATATTTTGGCAGTGGGGTTTTGGTTCAAAATCATCTCTATCTGAAATGACTGGTTTTATATTTCCAGTGTTCCTAATCATCATTTGACCATGCACCTAAGCTACAAAAATTGTCTAGTCCCCAGAACAGTTATGTCCTCGCTTTCAGGTGGTTTCAAAGATCTATTCAGAGGGATGCTCAGCCACACAGCTTGTTTATTCCATTGCCTGCAGAATGCTTCGGCCAATAAGATAAAAGAGAAGTCCAGAAAGTAAAACCAAAGGCACTCCAGCTGCAGCAAACATAAAAGACCATCCATAGTACACAGTTACAGGGACATCTACCATACATTTTTCACTTCTTTCCAGAAGTATGTATTTTTGGAGATCAGCTGCAAACTCCTTCCACATCACAAAGAGAAATATGAGCAGGAAAAATAAGCCTCCTGAAAAGAGACAAAGATCAATTATTTTTAAGTGTGATCAGCATATGCATTAGTGAAATTGACAAAATGTTGTCTGAATCTGTACTGGCTATACATCTGTGTTTGTGTTTAAATAAACTGAATATGAAGAACTGGCATCTGCACTTATCAAAAAATACAACAAATTTTGTAAAGATTTTCTTTTCTTTTAAACAGTGTAGAATTTTATAAAAGAGTATATTTATTTTTTAAGATTATACGATTTTATAAGAATTAATCATGTTTCATAACAAATATAAATTCCCAGCAATGTTTTTACACTGAATCAAAGGAACATTTACATAAAGTCACCCTCACCACTGAGTTCTGATCATTCAGGCCACACTTTTTGGCTCCTTTATATTGGAGAGTATGGTGCTGGATGAGATCTGAGCCTACTCGCCAGGGTGAAATTCACCTCTGTGCAGAGCATCTTGTAAGTGATGCATAATATGGTCTTCCCATTTAGGTTCAATCATTGACATTGCCAGGCTCTTATTGATTTCAGTGGGAATAGGATCTAAAGCCATGTTATTTTTGAGAAATCAGTGCATTTTGTAATATTTTATCCAAATTTGGAAAATGTGTACCTTTTCCATTTTCATTAGAGAGTTTTATGTCTGGCAAGAGTGGAATGAAACATGGGCCAAGATGAAAAATAAATACTTCTTTTTTACTTCTTTTTATCGTCTGAGAGGAGGGAAAAAATCAGACATTGCAGGCAATACTGACTCTCCTTTTCACAAAAAAAGCAAAAATGCAGGGGTATGAATTTGAGGATGGTGAGATTCATTGTGTATAACATTGCTCTGTCGTTACTTCAGAGACCAGCTTGAGCCAACAGAATTCATGGTGGTTAGACAAGGTGCAGTAGCTTCTGAAACTCTGGTGAATGGCCTTTTTCATCCTGTGCAGTGTTTCACAAAGTGGGCTCTGGACCCACTTTGGGAAAACTGCTAATAGGCCCATGCCACTTTGTTCACCTAAAGGGTCCATAGCCATGGAGCCTCACATCTCCAGTTCACTGTTTCAAAAATATCATAGAAACATATTACTGATGTTAATATAATTAGGGCAGTGGTCCCCATTAGACAGTCAACATATCACGCAGAGTTTTGTAAAATATCACAGATTTGAAATAACCTACACCACCACAAATACTGCTGTATGCTAACTGCAGTAAGTGGTGCTTTTTCAATATAATAGTTAGAATAATAGGTAAAAGAATTAAATAAATAAATGTAAAGAGTCAGATTAAGCTTCGGGGATTTCCTGTATGAAAGCCTAATAAAAGGCCTATATGAAATATACAGGAGCCAAAATAATCTTTGGCTAAGTCATACTGTGTGTGTGTGTGTGTGTGTGTGTGTGTGTGTGTGTGTGTGTGTGTGTGTGTATAGGAATGAAAGCTAAGTAGATAGAGTTGTCTTATTTTTATTAAAATTGCAGGCCAATCTCTCCAGGATCTGAGAATTATACTTTATGAACATACTGTATGTCACATTGTTCTATTTATTCCTGATGTTTTAGACTTACAAAGAAAAATTCCTACGTCTACTGGGAATGGATGTCAAGGAGTTAAATGCTATCTGCTCTAATACCCATATGTTCATTATAATTTTTGGTAGCACTTTAAATTAAGTGTTGCAAATAAGTAATTTACATGTAATATGACAGTTTATGCTTAAAATACCAATTATCTTGCTATAAGGAAATTGCTGTATATATAAATTAATAGTCACACATTCTTCACAAAATACAATATATTGATAAGAATGTAATTAAGTCTTTATTGCTAATGTAATTTAAAATTAAATTAATTGGATTGCAACTGTACCTCAGTAAGCATCCTTCTTAAGATCAATTCATACCTCATTAACATGCAATATCTACCCTAATACACCTAAATAAAAAAATATATTCCTGAAGAACATAGAACAATGATATGATAATATGTATATTTAGATCTGGCATGTATCTACTCTCTTTTATATATATAAAGCTGAAAGAAAAGAACTATCAAACTATCACCACCACAGGAAGGAATGAGAGGCCAATGAAGAGGAATGACTTCCAACATTCAGGTTCCCAGAGTGATGAACAGGAAAATGTCTTATTAGGCCTCACTAGAAAAGCCACCAGCTCTTCACACTTTGGGATTTGTTATTAAACAGAGTACTGGAAATGATGGCACCAGTGTAACAATGGAATCTAAATTAAGAACAATTTCACACTCATTGAATGTGACAAAAATTGAGTAAAATAAGCAATTTCTCCACTAGAATAATTACAAGTGAGATAGAGAAGAGTCCTGGCATTTACACCATCACAGGTGTAAATGGAAGAGGACAAATTGAATAGGAAAATAGAAGAGGAAGTGCAGAGAACTGAAACAGGAGTTAATAGCCCTACTTCAGGATGGCATCAAAAGGTCCAGCAGGGTCATGGGGATATTGAAGTTCTAAGATTTTAACTGGAATGAATAAAAATTGATCAAACTCTTAGTCCCTTGATATTTATGCAAGTGTCTATAAAACACTGTATGCCTCTTGCATAACAAATGAAATGAGGCACACAGCTATGCACTGGAGTGAGCAAAGGACCCACTTTGGGGGTTAGGTTAAGGACTGGGGATTGCTTTGTGCTGTTAGGGTTTTTGTGAATACAGTAATAGCTTTGTGGAGATGGGCTGGCAGAGTGCAGGGGGAAGAGATTACTAAATCAAACCATCTTCCTGCTTACATATATGGTTGTGTTCTTTCTGCTGTTGTGTATTGCGTCCTGGTAAGTATAAGCAACATGCTTGTCAAATGAGACAGTCTATATATTCTTTCTAATAGCTCTGTGGTTTCTGCTGGCTAGAAAATTAGCAGAGTGATCGTTTTCTTTGTCACCCTGTCTCCATCTGCCTCTATTCATTAGGCTGGTATGGAAAAAATTAACTGTGAAACTCAGTCGCAGTACTGATGAGGTCAATGGCATCTTCTGGGGAGTGGCTAATTGCAAGAAAATTGAACTTGTGGCATTAAATCTTTCTCCTTCATACCCTGATGACACAAGCTAGGGGCTAACTGCAAGACAACTAATCCCTCACTCTGTCTTCCCACTCTAAAGGATAGTAGCACCTTAATTGTGAGTAAATTGAAGTCTTACTCTGTGTCTTTCCTTCTCTTGTTTTATATGCTTGTGACACCTTTATAGCAGCTAATTGTAGGGGCAGATGAATGAACTCAGTCTCTAACTTTTATTCCTTGGAAGCTAAAGAGTCTTGTTCACCTTCTAGACTACTAGCTTCTTAAAGAACCTTATTGGAAGAAAATGGAGTGCTGTTGACTTTCACCTGTCTTACACGGTATATTGCATTTATAAACAAAATACCTGGTGATTGCCAAATGTGGAGCTGTCATTTTGGAAAAAAAGGGATTGGAGTATTATATATAAAGAATTGTAGCCATAAGATTGGCATAGAGTTTGTCCTTAATTTTGCAAGAAGCTAGTACAGATTAATAAAAGCACACACACAAAACCTCAGACATCCTGTTCACAGCAGAACTATCTTGTAACATTGGAATGGTTCCTCTTAATTGTAGTCATTTGTAGAAATGGTCTGCTGTTAAAATATTCAGATCTGAAAGGGCATTTGTGTAAAAATGTACCAGGCAGGAATCATACAACAACATTTGGAATGGAGAAAAATGCAGACATACTAGATTATTTGTGTGCTGTTATGGAAGAGCTGGTATTGGCTCCTATTTTTAGGGTGCCTAATACTTTCCATTATAAAGTATTCCTAGTCTTTTCTTTGAGAATCTCAATTCTATTGTTTGCAGCAGGTCTTTGCTATTCCCCCAACAAAGCCCTCCTTACCTCTCCTCAACTCGACACATGGTCAACAGCCAGGTCACATGATCTCTTAATCCCACCATTTTAGAGCCTGATTCAAAGCCCACTACAGTCAATGGAAAACCTCCCATTGATTTCAGCGGCTTTGGATCAGGCCCATGCATTCTTACTGTTAAGCTTGCTTGCTAAATTATACATGGGAACTGAAACAGAAGGGGACACAAACACAGTCAAAGTCAATTCATTTCAAAACATAAGCAATGTTTACACAAAATATTTTTCAGTATTCACCCAGCCCCAGTAGTGACACAGTAATTATAATTAATTATATCATTGTCTGACATTCACTGAAACAAGTGAAAATTAGCCATTGGTTAGTATTTTTCCCATAGGATGCCTTTCAACTATCTACAGCATGTCAAATTCTAAAAAGAAAGATGATATCCTGGCTAGCTGCTCCTGTGGTTTAGTCATTTTTGGAAGCAGGTTGGCAAGGACAACTGGTTACTTGTGGGGCAAAGATCTACAAGTGAAACTAGCAATAAATGTCAAGTAGTTTCCGATTCCACCTACTGAGTTATCCTTCAGAATAAATCAAGCAAAATGAGCTGGTTCTTCTGAAAGAGCTCTAAGAATACCACCCACAGAGCACAAGATTTGTTATGGTAGCTGGCAGGCTATCAGACTCGTCCTCTAAAAGTACGGTAAATAATGAGAGGCCGTTCTTGGAAAGCTAACCCTAGGTATCCAATGGGGGGATAAAAACTTCGCTCTGTAACACTGAATTTCCCCTGCAGTGGAGGGGGATGCAGTCTGCTGGTGCCAATGGAATAATTTAGAGATGGGGCTTCAACTTCAGTGTCAGCACTATCCTCAAAGAAAACAGCAAAGCCATCCTGTATGTTCTCTTTCCTACAATGAGTATTTTGAAGTATAGCGTGCAGTTCTGTCGGTGATACTGATCATGCAGATTCCATTTTCTATTAGTTGTTAGGGGTATCTAGAATGTGGGACAGTTACCTTGGCTTTTATAGTCCTGTCAGTCTAAATAAATAATAAATGTACATAATAAATTCTCTGCTTTCCAAGGGAAATTTAGAAATATCTAATTTACAAAAATGTGCTTCCAGCATATTTCTATCTGTTATGTTAGGAATCTTCCAGGAAAGACTTTCACAGTGCTTTACAACAAGCATAAAGTAAGCTTCACAATGCACCTCTGAGGTAGAAAATTCTTATCTGAGTAAACTGAATATCACAGAGGTAAAGGATTAAATAATAACTTTCCATTAGTGGGAAAGGCAGGAATAGAACTGAGGAGTCCTGATTTCTAAACTCAAATCTAATCACTAGACTACATTCCTCTCTATAAATTACAAAAGATTTCACACTTCCGAGAAGAGGTAGCATTTGGGGAAGAAGGTTAATTAATATTGAGCTTCAGGCCACAAGTAGAAGGCAATGCCAGCTTCCTCTTAGATCATCAGACCAAATCCCACCATTCAAAGGCTAGAGAGTCAAAACATAGGGTATTTTCAGAAGAGATTATATTTTATGGAAACAAAGAAAATAACTACAGAGCAACGTATTCCAAATAATTTAGAGACTCGGTTTCAATACAAATCCAGAAATTTGGATGTTTATCAAAAACCATCTCATGAACTGCTGAGTAAATCTTTCTGGAAATATCAAAAGAATGATGATTTTTGCAAGATTTCCCATTTTTTCTATTCTTGTTTGTATCAAATATATAGTGATAATCGCTTAACAAGATATCTTCTTACCTAAGATAGCCGCCAAGGAACGGATTTAGTCTAATGATAGTTAAAAACAATGACTGCTACTTAAAATAATGACAGCATTAGCACAAATTTTATTCAATAGGAGCACCTTTGGCTAAGGCCAAGAGGTTATGTGGTGCACAATTGGGTATTTTAAGAAGTATGAAATTCTATGTTCTGTTTTTTAATTAAAAAGTTGTAAAAATAAAGATTAAAATAACACACCATTAATTAAATGTGGTGACTCAGTTTTATTCTTCTTTTTTAAGTACAGAACTTTATTTCCATGAAACCCACTGAACTTTTTTTTTAAACAGTGTATTTATCAATGACTTCAAATGGCTACTTGCTTCAACTTATGCATGTGCTTAAATGTTTTATTGAATTTGAGCCTTAAAAAGGTGTCCCAATTTAGACAGTTCCACTGTTTTTCCCTGATCCTACGAGTGACATACATATATTAAAAAAGTTAACCAAACTTTTGTTGATCAGGTTCATGTTTGGTTACAAGATTTTTTTATTTTTGGTCAAAGGTTTAAAACAATTATTTATTTCACTTAAATAAATTTACCAATCCCAATAAATCCCCCCTTAAATAATCCCACCAGTATCAAAAAGAGAAAGAAATAAAAAAATGAATTTTAATTCTAGGTGCTAATAACACTTCAGTGGAGTAACTAATAAGATTATCATGAAAGATGAATAAATGGATGTTTCAAGTTCATTTTCCTGACTTGATGACCCTTTATATAATTTTCAGATTTGACTATTTCCCTTACTTTTTACTTCATCTAGGCTCAGAAGTCTTTTTCCAAGTGGATTGCATAACAAAATCAGAGCCTTCCACAAGAAAAAGAAATGCATTTCTGAAAAATAAAGCCTTTTGTGACTAAGCAGTATACTTCTAAAACTTAATTTAAAAAAATTCATTTTTTAGATGGGAGGGAAAATAGAGTTTCTCCAAAGTCAGTGCTTATATCCTCATACATAATTTACCAGAGCGCATATCTTTCTACTGTTGTTCCTTATGGTTAGAGTTCCTATCCTTTTCACACACACACACACACACATATATACAAAGAGAAACTTGGTTTCAGCATTCCAGGCACTAGTATATCCAATTACCATGATTTGGCAGCTTACCAGATATGATGAGGAATCCACCTCCCACTTTATAGAATCTAGCATTGAAAAAGGGCGCACCACACACCAACAGGAATCCCCCCACCAGACTGGCAGCGACAGCTAGTATGATGAATGCAGTCCAGAAACCTCTGTACACTGAACAATAGGAAAGAATAAAGTTATAGGAAAGGAACAGAAAACCACATAATCAGATCAATTTTCAGAAGTCTGTGTGAAACTAATGCAAATAACTCCAACAACTCAGCAACCATAAAAATAATAACCTTGCTGTAATGAATACCAGGATTATGAACAATTTTAAAATATTTTGTTAGACTTACGGAATTGGCATACATGTTGAGAAGAGCTGTATCGGGCATGTTACTAACTCCCTAATATGTCCTCAGGTATACAATATGGCTGTGTCTACACTGCACCCCTTTTCCGGAAAAGGGATGCAGATTAGACCAGTAAGGATTACAAATCCGCGGGGGATTTAAATATCCCCCACGGCATTTGCATTTACATGGCTGCCGCTTTTTTCCGGCTTGGGGATAAGCCGGAGAAAAGCGCCAGTCTAGACGCGATTCTCTGGAAAATAAGCCCTTTTCAGGAGGATTTCATATTGAAATCTTGAAAGCAGGAATAAGAAATCCTCCAGAAAAGGGCTTATTTTTCGGAGAATCGCGTCTAGACTGGCGCTTTTCTCCGGCTTATCCCCAAGCCGGAAAAAAGCGGCAGCCATGTAAAAGCAAATGCCGCGGGGAATATTTAAATCCCCCGCGGATTTACAATTCCGACTGGTCTAATCTGCATCCCTTTTCCGGAGAAGGGGTGCAGTGTAGACACAGCCTATATGACCAGCCCTTATAAGGATCACAGCCCTTATAAGGATCAGCTTCTGGGTCACATACATCATACCATAGGGTGTGTCTAGACTACATGCCTCCTTCGACGGAGGCATGTAGATTAGCCAGATCGAAAGAGGGAAATGAAGCCGCGATTAAAATAATCGCGGCTTCATTTAAATTTAAATGGCTGCCCCGATCTGCCGATCAGCTGTTTGTCGGCAGATCGGGGCAGCCATTTAAATTTAAATGAAGCCGCGATTATTTTAATCGCGGCTTCATTTCCCTCTTTCGATCTGGCTAATCTACATGCCTCCGTCGAAGGAGGCATGTAGTCTAGACACACCCATAAATAATAGTCCTAGGCTGAATAGCAGAACTCTGATGTGTGTGTCAGGAAGGCATGACACAAAATGGTTCTGATTGCCAGGGTAAAATATGACACAAGCTGTCTGGGAAAAGCAACAAGCTTGGGGCAGGAAATATGCCAAAACTCATCTCCTCTTTTCTCTCCCTCCCACCACTTCCACTTAGTGATTGTTAAAAGTGCCCCAGTCATGAGTCTGGAGAACTGAGTTATATTTTACTATAGTACAGGTGAAACACAGAAAGCAGTAGTGCAAGTTTTTCAGTGTTCTAGGATGCCTTCCCTACTGACCTAGAAGGATCACAACTAGTGAAGGGGATTCAAATTCTTTGGCCCATTGAGTCTTGGATTTTCTGCTATGACTTCAACCAACAGGGCCAATTGGTATCAACTGTGTGTGGTGAGCACTTTCCAGTTAAGACTGGGCCTGATCACCAACTTATTTCACTGAACATTATCTGATGAGAATAACTTTCTGTGAACATCACCAACATGGGCCATATTCAAATGGGTGAAAAGGCTCTTTACCCTACCCTCAGTCTCTTCAGCTACCTTGGCCCCCTCATGATATCATCTTCCACTTTGTGTGTCAGGTTCATGATTCTGGAGAACTGAGTCATATTTTCCTACAGAGCAGGTGAAATGTGTGAAGACTCGAGCATGGGAAAATGGGCAATTATGTCATGATTCACATATGAAAGAAAAATTATATATGGCAGACACATTTTATTCATTTTAAACCAGGCTGACAAGGAATCCATTGAGTAAAAGAAGCTTGAATCTTTCTAGAAAGTCCATGATGCCTTTACATATCTTAACACCACATAATGGGGCCAAATGTTGCCTTTAGTTACATATTATTGACTATGATATGGTCCATAGTGAGTAACTCTTTCCTTGGGCATCCTCCTCTCTAAGATATTTTACATTTGAAATAATAATATTTCAAATAATATTTGAAATAAAACAACAATACTGTGCACTTTCTGTGTGCAGATCTTAAATATTTCAGAGTGAATTAATGTAGCTTCCCCAAACCCTTTTGGAACATAAGGTTTATTACACCCTAATAGGAATAGTGTTGTAAACCTGGATGTGAGTGGTCATATAATTAAGGCTAGCTCTACAGACAAGCAGAAGTGGAAGGACTTTGTTGCTGCCCTATGCGCCATTGGCGTAACGGGCAGTAAGTAAGTAAGTAAGCTACAGACAAGCAAGCAGTAATGGAGTGGATACTAAAGAGGGGTTAAGAACTACAGAGTTTGGGTTAGCGATCTATGCAGAGAACGTCCCCATACCACCACTCAAGCATTATCGCTGTGTCTCCTACAGAACAAAATGAGCTTACAGGCTCTGTGGAGGGTAACACATTCCTTTCACATAGGAGAGGGTATTTTTTCATATAACTTTTTGCTCACACATGGCACTTTAAGTAATCTAATGGCCTTTCAGAAGTCAGTCTCAGGAAAGATTCATAAGAGGCAGCTGAAAGCGTTTCATAGCAAGGACTGACAGGCAGGAACAGATGGCTTGAGAGCCCTTTATTTAGCTCAGAAAAGTTAGCCTGTTTATTAGTAAAATCATTCAGAAACTGGTAACCGTGACTGTCTCTTATAAGTAAAAATCCCTACTATTGCTGAACTAGCTCTTGCAAAATGTTTTTTTATACAGAGTCTATACTGGAGCTTGAAATATGCTACTCACTTTACTGTCAACAAACACATCATATCCATTTTATACCATGGTGTACTCCCTGGGGAAGAAATCATACACAGCACAGAAAAAAAGACAATTTTTAATGAATTCTCCATAAAAAACGACATTGCTAAAGGCTAAGGAAAAGGTCAAGATGTTTGTTTGTACAGTACACCTGCCCCAGGTCCCACGAGGCAAAGCAGAGTGATGTGTACTATTTAAAGAAATCAATTAATTTAAAAAAACACAGTGGATTAATTCTATTCGTTGCCATCAATTCAATTAAAATTCCAAATGGCAGCTAATTCATTGCAGAAATCCAAAAATATATGGAGGTGGAAATCAAAGGAAAACACTGGTGGGAATTTGAATTAGTTGATTTAACTGACTTTCTCTGCTTTAATAACAAGCTGATTTTGCTTTGCCAAAGTAGGCCTTTTAAGAAGTGTTTTTAGTCCTTTTTCTTTGAACAAAACCAACCAAAAACATGACAGCCTTTCACTCAATGGTAAGTCAGACACTTTGAGAATCATCCAGTGCTAGACTGGCATAAGCCCCACTGGCAGCTCTCTTGGGCAGAGCCCCCATCTCTCTCTCTCTTCTGACTGGGATTTTTCCAGGCTGCATTTCCTGGCCTACACTGTGATGCACCCAACAAGTCAGACTGCCTAACCAGCCCAGCACTTTGCTCTCTCTTCAGAGGCCACAAGCAGCATAATTTCCCACCGTTGTGAGTTGCCACACAACTCTATGCCAGCACATTTATTCCTAAGCAAAATGCATAACAGAAAAAGCATGTTAAAAACAATAAGAAAGAACCTACCCTCATGCCAATCACCTTACCAGAGATCACTACCCCCATCTCCCCAAAGGCTCTGGGAGGATTCATTCCTTCTAACCCCAAAAAGAGGTTTTCTGTGGTTACAAATACCTAACAGTGTTAGGCAGTGCACACCCATGCTTACGTTAACTTTGCCTTTAAATAACTCGGGTCTTTGAGCTTCACACTCTGGGAACAGGTAAGGTGGAGCTGCCAAATGCTGCTTTTTTGCATATCTGGAGGTGGAGAATTTGCATAGGGGGTGCTAGAGATTCCCCAGGCAAACCACTTGACACTTTGTCCAACAAGTCCCTTTTTGTCTGGCCCACTGCTCAGTGTAACCCTTTGAAATTCATAACACTTTGCAGGGCTCACATCCCACATCCTAGAGTGTCATATATAATCCTGAAACAAAAAACAGGACTGTGTAGCACTTTAAAGACTAACAAGATGGTTTAATAGGAGATGAGCTTTCGTGGGCCAGACCCACTTCCTCAGATCAAATAGTGGAAGAAAATTGTCACAACCATATATACCAAAGGATACAATTAATCCTGGCCCCCAATAACAAATGACCTTTGCATTTAATATGAGGGACTGTAATGATGCCTAAACTTAATTCAACATAATTCTTCAGAACTAGTGAAATTGCCCTGTCTGTCACCAAGGAGGACTAAAGTGCTCTGCATAAAGGGGTGCAGTATTTTCTCCAGGGGGAACGGGGAGAGGCAGCAAGTGGCTAATAAGTGATTCTCTGTCATAAAGTTCTTGGCCTGCTTCTGGAACAGGTCAGTGACAGTTGCCTGTCACCATGACTCAGAATGGTTCATAAAATCATGGTCTAACCCTCAGTCCAGATTCAGAGCCTTCTTTCTAAGGAGGCCAGCATGACCCAGGTCTACAACAGGCTCCCACTAGTGGGAGTTTGCTCCTAGGGGCTCAGGAAAAGTGTGCAAACAAAACAACAAGCTGCTCTTTTGTTGCCTGCATTCAGTTGCACTTCTTTCATCATGAATTCTAATAAACAACAGACAGTTTCCAGTGACCTATCCAAGTCTAATCTAGTGTACTTTCTACCATGGTGTGTTAGATTATCCCTGGTAGAGTTGAGGGATTAACAGCAAGAGAGCTAAGTGCCTACAGAAAACCCCCTTCACAAAGGAGGGCTAGATAATGATTTTATCATGTAAGACTACTAAGGCTTTTGTAACAGTGGGTGTGTATCCATGAAGCCACAGTTGTACTGGAAAGAAGTAATTTACTCAGAGCCTTCCTTACACATACACAGAATATGCAGATGTGTAGAGCGCCCAAAAATTTGGGGCACCGCTGGATCTTAATGTTCCCCACCTTACTTTTCCTATCCCTGGTCTGTGACTCTGCTTCCTGCAGAGAGGATCTAGTGAAAGTGAAAAGTCAGCCAGACCTTTTAGCAGAACACTGAACATGGGAAAGAGCCATTCAAGTAGGGTTGCCAGGTGTCCAGTTTTGAACCAGACAGTCCAGTAGTTGAGCTTTCTGTTCAGGAAACAAATTGAGAAAATAGAAATGAGAAAATATAAATGGCCAGTATTTTCTAAATAAGATATAATGTAGATTGTGATGTAATGTCAAGAGTGTCCGGAATTTTTGTTGAAACCATCTGGCGACCTTACATTCAAGTGGTAATGAAGCCATTTAACAGGCATTTGCCAACCCCAGGCATATACTGTCAGTATCTGAATTTACTGGATTAGTCTACAAGACTTTCGTTTAAAATTTGTTTTAAAAATATTTCACTAGTGTGTTGCTAAAGATTATAAAATCACATCTCTAATAAATCATCATCCTTCCAAGCTGCCATCATGCACAGGGACACTAGTTTAAGGATGGCCCGACATTTATGACACTCCATTGAAGGGTGTAGGATAGTTGTGCAGCATGCACACTCTTGCTGTCAGAAGGAAGCATCTGGAGAACAGTCCCCTTTGCTTCTTTCAATTGTGAGGCTGCAGCTCTGCCCAGGATGCATACAAGGTCTACAAAGGGGAGTGTGTCCCTCCTTTCTCTTATGCCCTATGCAAGTTTGCAATGGTTGGAAACAAAATCAAGGTTACCAAGGTAATTACAGTACAGATCCACACAGCACAGCACTCTATTGGATCCCTGTGAAAAGAAGAGGTGAACACAACTGGTAAGGTACCAACCTGCAGTTGCATCATAAGAAGGATGTGGGGAAGGTCCAAGAGCAATGGGCATAGGAAACAGGTAGCCATGCATGCAATATTTGGGATGTGCTTGGCTAGCTGAAAGAAAATAGAAAATAGATAGTATTTCACTTTTATTTTATGCAAAATGACAACCTTTTTACTCAGATAAAATGTACAATCCTGCAAAACCTGCTCATTGGTATTAAAGGGGACATGAAATATAAGTTGAATATGTTTTAAATGCAAAATGAGATAGACAGCTGGATTTGAGAACATTACAAACATTAACTTGAGCCAGACCAAATCATAGAAATAAGAATTTATTCAAATTAGAATAATTATTCCCATGTCTGAGTTGTTTCCCATTCTGCCTAGAAGTGACTGAAATATTTGGATACTAGAGCTACCTACCATACAGCATCTCCAGTTTCTGGGAGAGTAAAGCACAATTACAATGGAAGTGTCACATCCGTATTAATACCATTGAGGCTTATCAAGATTAATTTAAATAGAATTAATGTTAAATAAATTAATTAATGATTGGCCACTTATTTTTAAACATTCCCCAGTTCATAGGATAGTTTAAATAAGTGAAGACTAGTTCATGCTAAATTAACTATGGAATATCTATTGAATTAATTAGTAGATCCACAATAGCAGCAAATTAATTTGCCATGATCAATCCAATTATAATACCTAAAGAAATAATACAGATTTGCTAGTTATCTAATAAATGTTATTAAAATTATTCTAAATTATTATTAATTTCATCATTTTACTTCACATAACATCATATTACATAGTGAATCTCCATATAATGCTAATGGATATTAAGTCTTCGCAGGACATTTTTTTGACCAAAATAGTTTAGCAAATACAAATTTTATAATGGAGACAATCCTATCCTAAAATACGCAGTAGTTTTCAAAGATTAGGAATCATCTGAAATATTGATCATCATGATGTAAATTTACTGTGGGCTCCTGTCAGAGCTGAATTGTCAACATTATGGCTATATGGTAAATTTGCTATTAAGTGATTGCATTTTGTGGTGACCCCCACCATATGTAGTTTAGAGAGGGACAGCCATAAGACTCAGCACTTCAGGAAATATCAGGCACAGATGAACACTGAATAACTCAACTGAAAGTTGGTTGCCTGTTTTGTTGACTCTTCTGAGCCTTTGAATGCCAATCAGTTTCATTTTCTCTGATGTTATTCCATAATCCTAATGCAGTACTCCTGAAAGTGATACTGCTGACTCAGAAACAGACAGGCATATCTTGGTGACATTCGGTGCTTAATTGGTAAAGAAAGTGGTGCCACACCTTATAATGGTGTCTACTACACAGCATGACCCCTCACACACTGTACATGCCAGGTCATGCCTTGTACAGTACTTGAAGAGCTGCCAGGGCTGTGGTCCGGCAAGAAAAGAAGCCATCCAGGAGTCAAACACTCATAACTGCTCATCTCAGCCATAACTGCTCATCTCAGCCATTTCCTGAGCTCCAGCAAGCCACCACATGAATGAAGGTCTGGTGACATCACTGCCTGAGGGTTTGCCATCCAAGCATAGATATCACAGAAAATGGTGGACTTGACAGCCATAAGACCCATCACTACCAGAATAAGTATCATTTAGTAAGGCAGGGATGTGAACAACAACAATGTGGATGATTGGGAGACCTTAAGAAGCCTGGCTTTACACAGTACATAGATGTTTTACAGAGATTATTTGAGTGAACTCTTGTTAGTGCTTATCTAAGGTTTTGAAAGCTTCTAATTATTTACAAAGCAGGTATAACTGGGGCATCAGCGGTAGAAGTACTGCCACACCAGTGCAACCCAGTCATCTGTAGGAAAGAAAAAACAATTCAGTTTTCATGTTCCATTCAGTCCGTAGCAACTCTCCTGTTAACAAAGGGGGCTAGTATCAGCTGTGATGGCAGTTATTTCAGTTATTTGTTAGTTATTTGTGACTGAGACCACTAAATTCACTTCACATGGACCACCTCACAGCTATCAGACAACCTGGATTCTAACTGGCAAATCAGAGGTTTGCAAGATAAGACTTTACCATTCTGCTTAAAATTGTTTTCTAACAAATCAGCGTACTTCCAAAAAAGGGGGATTTCACAATCATCTGTGTTTACTAATAGTGGGTGTGCTGATTCTCCATAAAAAAGTGGAAATAGACATTACAGTAAAATAAGTGTCCTGGTCGCATTTACACACAGATTTACATAAGTCTGATCCTACTTAGCACCTCCTACATTGGCCTGAGTGCCTCCCGCAAACACCCTTCCCCTCCGACCCCCCATTGTAGTCAATGAAAATTGAGGGCACTGGACACCTCTTAGGATAGAGATGTTAATAGGGATAAAATGGGCAAAAAGCCACAGGGCTGTAATCTAGCAGGCCCTTCTGGTGCCTACATGAAGTAGCAATAAGGCTATGAGTATACAATAAGGGTATGCTATTTTAAAAGAGAAAAAACGAGTGAGTCACTACATTTCTATAACGTTGTGGGAGACCATCTGAGACCAAATATTTCTGAGTTAAATGGGGGACAGAATGAGCTCCTGATCAGGGAAGTGTGGGATAGTATTGGTTTTGTCCTATTTTAAAATGGCCAAGCAGATCCTGTGAAACATAATATAAATGTAAAGCCAGCTTGCTCCTCAGTTGGGAGGGACCTCCTTCACTGACTTGCAGCCCAGATTTATTTTTATAGATCAATTATAATCTGGTAGCATTAGAGCTTTATAACAGAAATGCTGACACCAACCTAATCGCAGCAATGTGGACACCATAATAAACTATCAAGGCTGTTGGATCCATCTCCTTCAAGCATTTCTAAACAAAGCTGTAAAATGCATTGATAACACTCACTAAACCAGAAATTCCATATGGTCTCCTTATAATCCTCGCCAAAGAACCAGCATCTCCAAAAGAAACCTTCATGGTGAAACGTAAGGATTTCTTTCCTGAACTCTCTTAAAACCTCATCCTGTAAGAGAATAAAGAACAAGTCTATAAAACTGGAATACGTCTTTCCTATTAGCTTAGTTACTAGCAGGCTTTTTCGTTTGTTTTGCCTTTTCTTTCTTTCTTTCTTTCTTTCTTTCTTTCTTTCTTTCTTTCTTTCTTTCTTTCTTTCTATTTTTGCATTGTCAAAATTACGAACAAGAGTAACTCTCTATCTAGCACTTTGAATTGGATTCCATTAACACAGGTCTCCTTGGCTATGCAGAATACCATTGACAACAAGCTTTTTTCTGAGGTTTCTCTAACTTTCTGATAAGTAGAAAATTTCTTCAAGTCTCTGAGAAGTTAAAATATTATTTATCCTGTGCAGACCCCATCTTGCAGTCTTTCTGTACCCAAAATTACTACCATTTCTAACTCTCGCATTAATTAAACCCTTCTACTGGATGACCCTAAAAGCTCCCCCTCCTGGTCAAACCAATGTGAGCTGTGTTTAATTTCTCAGACAGAAGTTACGCCTTATCTATATCAATCTCCTCCTGAGCTCCACTATGACTGCTGAAACATACCTGTCTAATTTGCAACAATTTCTCATTTACAGTAACTTGCATGAAAGTTCTGCAGACATGAGGCACTAGTCACATTAGGAGCACTGTGCTGTCTATGATGTGAGTTAACATGTTAGGAAATAATTAAAACTAATTAAAAATATCTATCTTTATCCAGTACAGTTTGATGGAGAAGCAATATTACTGCTATAGGGCTCACACCTTCTGTAAAGTATCACATGCACTGGGAGTTGAGGCACTCAGCATCTCAAAGATTAGCCGTTCCCCTTACTTCAAGGAGATGAAGATAGTTGTGGCCCAGCAGAGAAATATCAAGTCATTTTGAATTCCAAAATGCCAATACATGGTGTGACTTTGCTCTCCCCCTCCCCTCATGTCCATACAAAATACATCTTGTAACATATCATTAGAAATGTGATTATTTGTACTGAATGAGTATATTTTATTTGGGTTCATGTGTCATTCCTGTATTGAAGTTAGAAATATGAAGTATAAACCTGTTTACTAATCTAGACTTGCTAAGTGGTGGCCATTAGTAGTAATCAAGGAACTTAATGGCCTGGTACATTGATTAATGAGCCATGAATAGTCTTGTTTTTCCTTCAAGAAATGTGGCCAGGTCACCAGATGCTGGAACCCATTTTGGACGCTATACTTTTCTACTGGAAACATGAAAAGTTTAAGCTGAACACAAAGGATTCCCACCTTTGGCAAAAGAAAGATAAAGATGGAAAACCAAACAATAGGAGTGGCTGCCAGACACCTAGACACCTCTGCTTAGCACCCAAGATGACTGCTGGAAAAATCTAAGACTGACCAGGAAAGATCAGGCCCAAATTAAGAGACTTCCCAGCTCATGAGAAACGATTATTAGAATATTGTTAGAGTAAGAAATTGCATGAAAGAGGTTTTTGGACTATTAGGCTTAACTGGTATTTTTGTTTGATTATTGACTTACTTTGATCTGCTTGCTATCACTTGAGACCACTTAAATTCTACTTTTTATTCTTAATAAAATCACTTTTGTTTATTAATAAACCCAGTGTATATAATTGTTACCTACGAGGTAACAACAGCTGTGCATAGCTCTCTTTCATTGATAAAATTTATCACATAAATCATATCATCATAAATTTGACAGAATTTATAAGTTTGCTCTGTATAACACTTTATATATCAGAAGATGGATTTATCTGGGGATCTCCATAACCAAACCCGTTACACATAAGTCCTACTGAGTTGATCAAAGACACACTCCACTGGAACATATGGAAGAATTGCTTCTTTCAGAATCAGAGTTCAGCCTTTGACTGCCATGATATGAGAGAGACACACCTCATCAACAGGATGCCTTTGCTGACTTGCTACATGTATATTAGTTTTAACTGCCAGTTCATAGCTAAGATACAATTAAAATGCTCAATGGACATATGAGGCAGATCCTGCCAATTTAAAAATGGGTAAAGATTGTGTCTGTGAGTGGAATTGTATGCAGCATAGAGCTGGGAGCAATAAACTATCAAATCAATTATTAAAAAACTCAAAAAATAATAAATGCTGCTCCAACAGGTACTTTCAGGACCCTGTATCTGTGTCCTATGCTAGACAGAGAGTTGGCCTAACTACATATCTCCATATCCCTTCTAGCCTGGATCCTTTTTTCATATTAGAGAAAACAGAGTAACTTGAAAATATTCTGAAAACTCCCATGTTTATACTTCATTTCTAAGTGCAACAAAATGGAGCTGGACTTTTGTGTGTGCTAAGCTTTTGCTCTCTGCCCTCTTCAGCCTTATTGTACTGTTTGATACACAGAGGACTTCTGCTGGGACGTTTGCTTTCTGTATGAAGAGTCATCTGTCAATATGGCTTATGTAGCCAGAAACCTATACTTTATTTCAAAACCCTGGGATCAAGCATACTTATTGTTGACACTATAAAATTTTCCAGAAATAAATCACTAAACAGAAAAATCAAACATAATTGTCTTGGACTTTATCATAAAGAGAAGTATGAATAATGGAGGAATATTTCTTCAAAATGTTAATACCATACACACTGACCAACAAAAAAAAGAATTTTTAAGAAGAATGTAAAGAATCAGAGAATTGATCCAGCTTTCATTTCATAGGCTTTATTGAACAATTTCACGAGAAGCAATTTCAGCTCAAATCAGGATTTTGTAGGAGCTATATTAGAAGTTAGTGATAAAATATCAATTCTAATTCTATAAAACTCAGCATAATAGAGTTTGTCTTTAGTGGCAGATGCAGGTATCAGCAAATACATTTTCACTTTTCAACTTTCTGCCCCATAGCTGTCAGAAGACAGAAGTGTTTCCTGTAATGGGTTCCTATGCCGATTTTGCTTCAAATCTTTCATCAGTGATACCCTTCATTGAGATGCAGGTTGTGATTTTATAGTTTAGGCTGAGTTGAGCTCTTATAGATTGAATGTATATGCAAGAAGTACATATTACCATAGGCTTAAAACTATCAGCACCAACATTTGTGTCAGTTTTAAAACATTTCTATAATAAGTTATTTTTAAAGTGTATTTTTTCTTTGCAGAATATTACAAGATTTCGGGGTTTTACCTCTGTGGTGTGAAGAGTTTTATTTTCAGGTTCAAAGATTTCACATGTCTCTGTTGCTAGTAGCCAATAATCTGTCCCAAAAGCTATGAGAAACAGTAGAACACCAATGGCACCAAGAATTCCTGCTAAAAAGGCTGGCATTCCAGCCTTCATGGTGGAACAACAATAGGTAGTAAACTTGAAACACAGAAAAGAAGAAAATCACTTAAGTGTCCAACGTTTGAAAAGGCGACTGAAAGGAGGGGTATGAAGAGAGGATGCTATTTTTGGACACGGATTAACATCGTTTCATGATTGGTTAGAGTTTCATGACTGGTTTGAGTTGCAGTAGCAAAAGGACTAATAAAAGCAGATGAGCTGGCACAACCAAACAGCTGTGGTATTATAGAAACATAATAACAATCTATAGAGATAAGGTATGGAGATTCCCAAATAAACACATGGGCATTCATTTTACAAAAGCAATGTGGAGAGTGAAAAAAACAGTGATTGGACTGGTGTCAAGCAGCTTCTATGAACTGATTACGGAAAATTGTCCAAGTTACAAGTTATTTTTATATGTGCGGGGGAGGGGGGAGACAGGCCATTTGAAAGTGGCACATCCACTATTTCCCAAGCTACTCCTTAATTCCTTCTGCTCTTGCCTCCTCTCCTCTTATCTGTCTATTAAAATAAACCACAAGTTTTTATTTCAGATGGAAAAAAAGTAGAGATCCACAAAGTGGTATTTACAATTCAACTCATAGAATCATAAAATCATAGAATTGGAAGGGACCTCGAGAGATCATCGAGTCCAGTCCCCTGTCCTCACGGAAGGACCAAGCACTGTCTAGTTCATCCCTGACAGGTATCTGTCTAATCTGCCCTTAAATATCTCAGTGAGAGAGATTCCACAACATCCCCAGCCAATTTATTCCAGTGTTTATTCCAGTGACAGGCAGGAAATTTTTTCTAATGTCCAACCTAAACCTCCCTTGCTGTAATGTAAGCCCTCTGCGGTAATCTGCAGAGGCCAAGGAGAACAATTTTTCTGCCTCCTCCTTGTGACACCTTTTTAGATACTTAAAAATTGCTATAATATCCCCTCTCAGTCTTCTCTTTCCTAGATCATGTTTTCTAGTCCTTTAATCTTTTTTTTTTTTTTTGCTCTTCTCTGGACCTTCTCCAGTTTCTCCACATCTTTCTTGAAATGTGGTGCCCAGAACTGAACACGATACTCCAACTGAGGCCCAATCAGCATAGAGTAGAATGGAAGAATGACTTCTCATGTCATCTCTTTTAAAGTTTCTGTGTTTCAGAGACAAAGCTGCTCGTACAACCCTCCTGTTGTGAGCATGGTTAATCATGCCATGTAGTTACAGTAAGTCTAACCATAAACAGGCATTTAAATCAAGTACAAATGGAGAGATAGCAAAAGGGCTGTCCTTTTAGGTGGGTTTGAAAGGACATTCTCTTCTCTACTTTCCCCCCACAGAGGTGTACAACTACAGTGTTTGAGTTTGCCTCACCAACATCTAACTGTACCTTGAGGAAAATGTCCCCTCAGAAATTGGGAAATCCTTAATGAGCAGAGATTTTATTCTCATTTAGATACTGATGTTTTTTGTCTTCTTCTGAAGCATCTATTATAGGCCACTGCCAGGGACAGGATGAGAGACTAGGAGAATAATAATTTCAGAATGGCAATTTCAGTACGCCTGTGACATGCCAAAAGTGCTGGCACAAAGACCGAAATTCATTTTACGGAGAAAATTCAAGCTATCAAACCTTTCAAGTATATCAACACTAGTTCACTGTCTTCTGTCTGATACTCAGTAGTAAAATAGACTCCTCTCATATGGAACAAAACAATATCTTTATACTTAAAGTAGTGTGTGATGTCAGATTAATTTGAGAATCTGTTTATTTAGTCATTAAATTAAGTGCTGAAGGAGAAACTGAATTCATACTAAGAATCTAGGGATTTCTTAGTAATTTATTTTTTTACTGGATTTAGCCATTCCATAAGCTATATGGGCAAGTGAGGCCATCTCTTCTGACTTCTTTTAGGAACATGGTAATTTTTAAATGATGATAGGCTCTGTCATTGTTATTCCTTAAATATTTCATGCAGAGTAGCTCTTAAATCACAGATTGGATATTTGTTCCTGGATGTAAAATTTCAAGAGAGGTGTCTCATTATAATTATTTATGCCTAGCGATACACCAGTCCCATTATAGAAACCAGAAGCAAATAGGTCCTTGCCCAGAAGAGCCCACATTCTAGCTAAAGACACGGCGGGCTACAAACATAATAGGAAAGTAAAGCAGGTTTACAGAAATGAGATGATGCACTAATTAGAAAAAGCCATGTGATCCATACCTCCATCATTAATTCTCCCCTGGCTAGTCTGTGGAAACAATGCTGAAGAAATACGCTTTTGGAGAGATATGAAAGAGATAAAGAAGTACTAAAAGAATATTTCATAGCTGGGGTATTAGGAAGCAAGAGGGAGGTGATGTGAGTGGGGCATAGTGGGTGGGTTAGCAAAGTGGTCTGAGCTGTAGCCTGGAGCTGATTGAAGGTTGTGCACATAAGATTTTTATTTGACAAGTCTTTAAAAGGCTTGGATGTCTTTTTGTAGTGGTAGGATGATGTGAGTGTCCCTAACAGAAGCAGGAGCAAGATGTGATCAGCAACTACAAAGCAGTAATGTTGGCTGTCCCCAGACACATGAAAACATTTTACAAGATAAGGCCTTAAGTCATCCCCTCTACCACACAGCTTGGGAGGTCGGGGTGAGAGGAAGATGAGCCTCAGTTATACACAGAAAGGCTAGACATGTTGCTTCAGGTGAAGTGAGATCTGAGGCCATTGCATTGTGTTCCCTGCTCTGTCACAGCACCACTTTCCCAGCATGCCAGTCAAAGGGGAGGAAGAATCAGGAACACACCACCCTACATGATATGATCCCTGCCTAAACCCACAGAATTTACATTGCAGTGTGATGCGGAAGTGAAAATCAGCTATGTGCCTTGCATACCCTGTGAGGTCACCATGGACCATTGGTACTATAGGAATCACTAGCTGCATGGTAGAGTTAGCACTTCTGAGTCTGCTGGAGATGAGGATTCTGGAACTGTACAAAGGATATTCCTACATGGGCAGATTTTTGCACCCGTTTTGCTTACCACATTTGGTGGTGGCTCTGTTGTACCCCATGCTCCCCCCCACACGCACACATATTTCCTAGCCCACCATGCAAGTGAAAGGATGGATAACAGAGGGCTGTTAAAAGCCATATCTGTTCAGTGTAATTTCTGTCCCTCAGTGCACTCATCCATGGATAGCGATGCTTGTGGGCCAGTTACTAGATACTTCATCAAGGGTACGTCTACACTACAGCGCTAATTCGAACTAACTTAGTTCGAATTAGTTAATTCGAACTAAGCTAATTCGAACTAACGCGTCTAGAACTAAAAGCTAGTTCGAATTAGCATTTTGCTAATTCAAACTAGCGCGTCCACACTGATTGGACGCAGGGGGGCATTTAAGGGCGGCTGAAACCGGTTCTGGCAGGGCATCAGGTCAGTAGTTGCTTTGTGTGGCTGCTGTCTGAGGCTATCTGAGGCTCGAGCTTAAAGGGACCCCCCTGGACAGCCGGTTCTCAGCTTTTCCTGCTTGCTTGCCAACCTCGCCGAGGGACAGCAAAG